AACCGATGTGCTTCTGAATGGAAGTAAGATTAGAAGTGAACATCTTTTTGCTAATTTTTCTTTTATAATATTTAAAATGGAATATTTTCACAGTTTCTGAACATAGTTGCTATTGTTATTAATTAGTACTAATTGATGTGGGCCCTAAGAACACACTAGTCCCTAAAGTGAACTGTTTCTTTAGTGGAAGTTTCTTCCCTCTCATTATCAGAATCTCTTGCAATTGGGATTGCAAAATATAAAAATGAACAAAAAAAATAGGAAAAGCCCATTCTTTTCCCTTCTTCCTGTCAGGAAGCACTATTCTCATTTCTACTGCCATAGTCTGGCTTTTGTTACAGTGGCTACCAGAAAATGGATAACAAGAGCTAACTCGTATTGAATGCTCATTACAATGCCAAATATATACATATTCATTTATCCAGTCTCGATAGACACCAACAGGTAGTGCCTTTAGCACTATGCTTTAATTATGAATTTCTCAGTTCTCATTAGTACACCCCCAGGGTACAGATTAAAAAACTCAGGCAGAAAGATCATTAAGGAGATTGGCCAAGTGGTAAAACTGGGACTCAATCCCGGCCTAAGCTCTTGTGGATAGGTGTTGCCCTTAGATACCATTGAGTCCATTCCAATGCGTAGTGATCCTATGGAACAGAGTAGACTGCCCTATAAAGTTTCCAAGGCCACAAATCTTAATGGCAGCCAATTGCCCCATCTCTCTCCCTTGCAGACACTGGTAGGCCCGAACTGATGCCCTTTGGTTATCAGCTGAACACTTGACCACTGCACCGAGACACTTTTATTGAATACCTAAACTCTCACTTAAATAAACATACCCTAAGTAGATCGTTTTCTTGCCTTCCCATCTATATGATTGAAAATGTACTGGTGGCAGTGGAATGAAAGCGTCCAATGTGCATTTCAGGAATTTTGGTAATTGTTAAAGGGAGCCTTTCTGGGGGTCTGATTATGGACTCATTATTTCCAAAAGCATAGCTCTTGGAATCCAGTTAAGAGATCACTGTGGCATTTAATTTAGGACCCCATGTATATGGAACCAAGATCTCTAAGGAGAAGAGATTCCCAAAATTGTTGTTCCTAAATGATTAGCCACCTGAGAACCCATTGGAAGGACATGGTGAGTCCTCTGAGAAATTAGTATTTCTCAACTATAGTTTGGCCTTTCATGGTGAGAATTGAAAAGCCTGTAATTCAAGCACATAGGCATGATTATTCCTTCACACAAGGAATCCCTAAAGCCCTGTATTGTCCTAAGGTCAATGCTTCATCGCAGGAGAACGCATTCATTCTTAAATTGCAAAGTGACCATTAGATTAACAGAAATTAATAGCTAAGGAAAACCATGGAGATCTCTTTTTGCAACGCCTTCCCTTTGCCGATACCGAAATGGGTGTCCACAGCAATGAACAGCAACACAGCTCCTCAGTGAGGGACCTGGGAACGACCAATGTTTCCTGGCTCACATTACTGCCTTTTGCATTACAGCAAACTACCATGCTGAGACCTTCCTATTGAAACCAAGATTCATGAAATCATAAAACTGATAAATTCTGTAATAGTTCACTCCAAGGGCAATGCAAATGTTATATGGATGTATATGTACAGACATACATATTCTATTTGGAATGTATAACTACTTGAAAGAAGTGGCCCACTGGCAAAGAAGTCTTAGAGATTCCTTGTTATGCAAAGGTTTTCATTAGGATTGGATGTGAATATATAGAATGTGTTTCCATTATATTATTAATATAGCCTTCAAGGTGCTTAACTTCTTTCTCAGGTTAAAACATTTATTAGTAAGATGTGCTGGGTATTTATTCCAGGCCAGTATCTTAGAATGGCTGCTAGAGTAACAAGAGCGCGACTGGCTAATTTTAAGTTATTTTCTTACTTGACCCTGCAATCATAATCAAAATAAAGTTTAAGAAAATTAAGATGAAATGTTAAATTTAAAAATATCATTATGGCTCCATTGCCCCACCAAGTTCAGAGGTTTTGAGTTCCTCTTTTCCTTTTTTAAGACAACATTGTTCCTCCCAAGTAGAGCACACGGCGCATACGGTTTGATTCCACTAGCAAGATGAATAGATTAGATTAGCATTTCCAAGTGATGGCTGCTGGTGAGTCTGAGTTCTGATTGTTCAAGAAGGTTAGGCACCCTGTATGATGAAGATTTGTTATAGAAAACGTATAATTATATTCCAGAGCAGAAACAAGGAACTGCCTTAGATACATAATGCAGAAGGAAACCATATTCTAGCTGGGAGACGAGATTTAAGTTAAGAAATCCATCATGATAATTCCATACTGGCAAAGTCATTGCAGCAGTTCAGAAGTGGAATGATCAATGTTCTTCTTTTTCTTCTTCTTTTTTAAATACGTATAGGAAAATCCTTAAACTGAAGCCTCTGGATCCTGAGGGAGATGAGGGAATCATACATTAAGGTTGGGGGAAAAGGCTATACTTAAACATAGGCATTAATAAATCTTTAATGTATTGAAATCTAGGATAAAGTTTAATAGAATTAATTTTTGAAAGTAATGTCTAAATTGATTTAATATAAAAGTATGCTTTTTACTTTAGGTTTTAGATGAGGCTTATTAATAAAATAATGAACCACATCGTGATTTTCAGTCTATCAAGACATGCACTAAATGTTAAATATTAACCTTGTTAACATCATGCCCGCATATGGCCCGCATTTGCCTCTACTAGAGAAAGAAGACAAAGAGACTGATTTCACTAAATTGCATCTCAATATCTTCTTGATGCGCAACCGGACTTAGGAATCTGAATTTCTAGAACAATTTCTAGAAATGATATTAAAACCCATCTAAAAAGGGTTTTCATAGCCGATCATCGGGGATCAAGTAGATTTACTCTGAAACGCTCACGGGAGGAACAACAGTCGGTGTATAATTTACACATTTAGCTTTTGTTCTTATTAGTTGCCTGAAGAGTCAGCTCCAATTCCTGGTGACCTTGTTCCCAAATATCTCCTGATTTAGAAACACCTAGGTACATATGCCAAAAACCATATCCATCTTTTGTTCATATGTATTTACATGGCATATTTCAATGTCTGTACCAATATTAAAATTTCTTTTGCATATATATATATATATATACACACACACACACACACACACACACACACACACTATTTTTAACACAAAGAACAATGGATCAGCTTCCCTGCCCAACAAATATGAAAGACTAAAATTGTAATGAAATTTTGCAATAGTTATTCTTTATCACTTAATTATGGAGGAAGCAATTTGGTAATACTTGTTAACAGTGATCTAGCCATTTGAGACCCATTTGTAAATTCTCAGATATTTACGGAGGCACTGTGCAAGGCTGTACCCTTCCTTAAAGAGATCCAATCCATTGAGCAAGGTGAGGCTCCATGAAATTTTAGTTAGCAGCATTAAAACTCACGGGAGCCTTGATGGCACAACAATGAGGAACACAACTGCTAACTGAAAGGTTGTCAGTTGAAACCCACCCAGTGGCTCCATAAGAGAAACACCCGGTGATCTGTTTCCACAAAGATTCTCTCATGCCCCCATCCCCACCCCCCCATAAAAAGGATCACAGGCAAGAAAATTCTATAGGGCAGTTCTACAATGATGGATTGCCATGAGTCAGAGTCAATGTGCTGGGCCCTAACAAGTCAACCGGATGGCACCTAAAAGCACTAAGACTCATTCCTACCTACATTTAAGGTGGTTGGGCAGCTCGGTAGTTAAGTGTTTGACTGACGGGTAGCACAAAGTGTAGCAGTTTGTAACCCACCCCCCTCCCCACCCCTATACACACACTCCAGCTACTCCAGAGGTGAAAGACTTGATCCTCTAGTGTCACTGAAACGACGCTCTCACTCTCTAACTTGGAGTCGGTTTCCCTCATCCGCCTAAGTCAGAATCTACTGGCAGTGTTTCTGAAAATATTACAGCCTGGAACGCCCTACTGGTGGTTCTGCTCTGTCTCATGGCATCATGATGAGTGAAAACGTGATGTGACAGCACCTGGCAGCCACAATAGCCCACACGACCGTGAGACACCGGGGGCGTAGTCTTGAATACACTATGGGAATCTGCAGGGTGACCCTGCAGGCAGGATGGAGCTGGTTTCCACAGAGGACAGGACTGGAGCGCTGTAACGGCCGCCTTAGTCGCCTGCACAGTGCGACAAAGCTAGTTTTAAACCATTAAATCCTAAACCGAAGACGCGCTGTTCTCTTGCTTTCTGGAGTCATGTGTTTTATACCTTGGTTGAAGAAGAGAAACGGTATCAGTTCATAAACTCAAGAATACTTTGCCTTATTCCTGGATTGAAACCAAGACAGTCTAGATTTTTGGCAAAAAACATCATGAAAGCCTGTACTCACCCACCTTGGTGAGTATTCCCCTTAAACCAACTCATCAATAAGCTCTCTCTTTCTCTGAGAAGTAGTGTAAATAAAAATAGGAAATAGATCCTCTTATTTTTTTTATCCTCTTATTTTTTTAAAGATAATGGCTCACACTTAAAACATACCCAAAGAATCTTTCATGAAAGACTAATGCAACCAGTTCATATCTGTAAATATAAATTGTGGAGAGTGGGCTCCTCAAGTGAGAAATTATTTCTTTCGTGTTATCTTCTGGTTTCAGGCACCAGCTTTACATAGCAGTTTAAATTGCTAAAGTCCTTATTTGGTCCTTTGTGTAGGCGCAATCTACCTTATTTCAAAAGTAAATGTATAGCTTTGTCAAGGAAGGGGCTCTAAATGTAATGTCCATTCAATTTGGGGGGAAATCATCAGTTGCTTGTTCTCGCTTGGCACGGGAGTCGTGTTCTGTTCAGTGCATCACAGCCAAGTTGAAGAGCAGACGTGTGGTTTGTGTCCTTGTCCATTGAATTTTTTTGTTTAGCCCAAATGGCATTATGGTTGAAAATAACATACCCTGATTTTTCCTGATGCATGCAGATCCTCCAAAGCTTAATAGGATATGGCCGAATATTTCTTCCCTTGAGTTTTCTAACCCCAAACAAGGTAGGAGCATGTAAAATTCCTACTGCTATAAAATCCCACAAGTTTAGTGCGTAGCAATCTCATCCACTAGTATCACTAAATAAGAACATGATGAAGAATACCATGTTGTTGGAAAAACATCATCATTTGAATATTTTTATTATATGGAGAGTGTCCCATAAATAGCAAAGTGAAAGGTGTGGATGACCAAAACTGACTGGGTGTAGAAGTGATTATGAACCTTGCCAAATTCGCATTGATGGTTCTCGAGAGGAGTCTCGGTTTCTGCTACCAATTTATATTCCGCGCTGTGGAGTTTGAAAAGTCACACAGGTATTCTTCCAATGTCTGTCACCCTGCCACCTTCCTTAATGCAACTGGCTGCTGTCGCAGTTGGCCTGAGCCAGGGAAGATGCGACGAGGCGATGCTGCGACCTCCTGGTGCAGGCGTGCTCTTGTGCTGCTGCTGCAGGTGGCCTAATGCGAGTGGGAGTGTTTTTGCTCTCTCTCTGCCTCGTTGTGTTTCTCTCTCGGCTCTCTCGCATCACAGCAAAGCTTCTTTTTTGGCACCTACCCCATGTACTCCTTTATCAACTAACATTTGTTTTTAAAAGTATTAAGAGTAACTTGTTTTCTGTCTGTCCTTAGAACATACATTCTTTGATGATTACCAATGTCTTAAAAACCAAAACACACTGACAGCAGTGTGCAGGCAGCAATCGAATAGAATAGAAGTTCTTAAAACCAAGGCGTACAATCGTAAGATGCGGTGTAATACTAAAATACAGTATCATCTTGCCTGTAGATATCCAGAGTCATATATAAATCGTGGTTTATTATCATTTGAAAATTTGTATTCTTTTGCTATCATTTCTTCTCAAAAAGAAAAAGGCACATCTCTGACTTCGACTTCCTTGGTGATATTCAGGATGCTCCTGTTAAACTCTAATGAATACAGATGGAGGAGGAAATGGGAACAGGGAGGGGCCAGGAAATAGTTGCTAAGCAAAACAAAATATATTAGCAATGTGTTGAGGAGTCAAATTGGAAGGACTGCATTTCCCGTCCTTGATCAGAGTGATGAAATCAAGACTGTCCCAGATACATATATTACCAGCAAATAGAATTATTTTAATCATCTTCTCCGAATGAATTTTTTTTCAAGTTTCCACATATATATGTGGAAGAAGAAATTCAGTTCTCTCCAATTAGTATAATTCCAAGAGGATTCAAGGAAGGTTGAGTGGCTTGATTCCTTGGCAAGTTCAAGACAAGCCTCCTCAGTAAAATGTCACTCTGTGTTCCCCCTTTAAGTTTCACAGTGCAGCAAATCATACAAGACAGGCTCTAAGACTTCCCACCTCTCCACAGCAAGTTTGGAGATAAACCAGATCATGCCTTGGTGAAAATCTGAAACACACCCATTTAATTATGTTGGTAACTTTTTTTGTATCGCAGGAGAAAAAGCTTACAGAAGCAGCTTGGGCTGTGCCGGCTCCAGTTATTGGTTTAGAATGTGCATGATGACTTCCAGTGACTGTTTAAGGAAAACACAGCTGACTTAAGGGCTTGAGTTGGATGGTTTAGGGACGAGTTCAGTGCGTGCAGAGGCCGGTTCTGTGCAGCCATAATTGAACTTGTCCACATCTGCAGAGAACTCGCAGCTCAACCCTGTCTTTATTTTCATAAGTAACTCTGGAAAATAATTAGGAAAAGATAGAGAAGGTAAATCCAGAGAAAGAACCCTGCCATTAGAAACTTGATCTTTGTCACAAAGGTACTCCATGATGTGAGGAAGGCCCTATTTTTTTGAGATAGAGATGTTGAAGATGGCTTCTAGGATCCAGGTTCAGATACCACTGAATGGTTTTCCATTGTGATTGGCTGTGTCTGTGACATGCAATCAGTTCAAGGAAAAATAGCCCAACTAGTTTATGTGCAGAAAAGTATATGGTTACAGAGGGGGGAGAATGACCTGGTGAATTAAAGCAACACTATTGCTGAGTAATGCAACAACTGATCTATTTTGCAAGAGACACCTGGGGCTCCCTGTTGTTACTGGAGCAAGCCATGGATTGTTGATTAAAATGATACTTCTTCTCTGCCTCTGAAAGGAAAGTTTTTAAACCTTATTGCTGACAATGTTGAGCCATTTTCAGCCATACATGATTTCCCTTGTCATTGAAACAGACTCCCATAAACAACAGATACAAATAGTCTCTTCATTCAGGGCTGTTTTTTCAAGCGGGTTGATGATAACTTATGTCACTTTGAAAGTTTCACTGTTGTTTCTAATTTGCTCTTCGTTTTTTTAAACCTATCCAGTTGCTCCCAAATTAGCTTTGTCAACAGTTTCTTCTGTTCAAGTTGCAAACCACAAGAGAGGTAGGAATTCTTGGATTCATACAGTGATTTCATGGTGTTATGTGTTGTGAGACATTGCACTGTATGAATCTGGAATATCTGTGAAGTGTACCCATCAGCTTATTGGTTAGGCATGTGGACTCATACCAACTGATGCATCAAGTAGAAGCAAGAATGTAATTCGTAAAGGAAAAAAGTATGCGTCACTCCCAAATTTGACTGCTATTTTTTCTTGCAATTTTACATGCTGCAATATTTGTTTTCTGAAAGATTCGTGTGTGAATAAGAATTATGACAGTTTAGGTCGTGTTTAGAACATGAATGTAAGAGTACTAGCATTGCTGCTCGTTTACATGGAAAGGGAACTCAAACGCCTGTGTTCAGGGATGCTTCTCATGAGAACAGAATGAGAGTCCATGCATCGTGTTCATTTCACCTTGTGATATTTGAATCATCTTGGAGTTAATACTTCCTAATACTGTTTTGAATGAATCTGAAAAAACGCCAGAGAAGATGGACACTGGGTTAATCACTAATTATGTTCAGAAAGTAATAGTTACATTATTTGCACTAAATGAAAGCCAATAGTCTCTTGTCTGTGACTCACGGTTGTCCCACTCCAGTTAGCAGCTGTCGTTCACAGAATGAAGATATTTTTCAGGACACGTAAAGACTCCTACCTTTATTTCACTGTTTCCATTTAAATGTCCTGTGTGACAGGTGTGTCCTGTTTTCCATCCTGGATTTTTGGGCATTTGGCATGTTGGGGGGTTGTTGGGCTTTTAATTTTGTTTTTCATTTTGCCATGAAAAACTTCTTAGAGATGTTTACTAACAATTGTACATTTGAACTTAGTTTGACTCAGTGTTGAAATTGACCATAACAACTTCCTTATTCCTCATTGAATTTCATCAAGTCATTGGCAGAGGTTTAATCGACGTGGGGTTTGTCTTTGGCTGTACACAGGAAAAATGAGGGCGCTACTCAGGAGAGGAGAAAGAGAAACTGAGAGTATTTAAGGCGCATCTTCAGCCTTCCTCCAGTGTGATTGTATTAAGCCGGGTAGACCAGAGAAACAAATTCATAGAGACGCTTAAACATGTATAAGAAAGAGATTTATAAGAAAAAAAGGAAAAGGAAAAACAGAAAGAGATTTATATACAAGAGCATTTGAACATTGAGAAAACATCCCAGCCCAGTCCAGATCAAGTCCATAAGTCTGATATTAGCCCATATGTCTAATACCAATCTATAAAGTCCTCTTCAGACTCAGGAAACACATGCAATGATGCAGAATGTAGAAGATCACAGACCAGTGGGTAGAAAGTCTTTGGATCCAGTGGCATTGGAAACATCTCAGCGCTGGCAAGGGTCTCTGTACGGCTTCATAAGCACCCAGGGCTGCATCAGCGTGGGTCCATATGTCTTGTCAGCTGCTATGTCTCCCAGGGTGTGAGCAGAGAGTCTCCCACCTTCAAGGAGGTAAAACCGGAATTCCCAGAATCCTTAGGGGAAGACTATGCCCACACAGAAACCTCATTGTCTATGACCTGATTGACAGGCAAGACTCCACCCCTACACGCTTAGTCCTTAAATTGACAATTATATAACTACCATAGTGATTATATATATATAACACTGAAGATAAGTAATGTTATTCAATAGATGCTGGTGAGATGTTGGAAGGAGTAGAGCCACCATGCTTTTTAGAAGCAAGGATGGCAAGACTTTGTCTCAAGTATGTTGAACATGTTGTCAGGGGGAAACAGACCCTGGAAAAGGACCTGGTGTATGGTAAACTAAAGGGTCAGGAAGCCCCTCCAAGAGATGGATTGACCCAGTGCCTACAACAATGGGCTCAACGGTCACAATTGTGAGCATGATGTGTAGGACCAAGCAGTGACTTGTTCTTTGTACAGAGGATCGCTATAAATCGGAACTGATTTGATGGCCCCTAACAACAACATTGAAAGAATCCAAATGTATTTAAAGTTTTGAGAAATCAGTTCTTTAGGAGCAGAGCTGCCATGGGTTCCGAGGGTGAGAAGCACTGAGGGCTGATCCAGGCAGGGACTGAAGCCACGGGGCTGATGCTGTGCCTAATCAGATAAGGCAGGGAGAAGGTTGAGTGGGGCAAGGAGCTAAAAAGTAGGAACTTTTACAAAGCCCATCTCTTTCATGCCCTTGCTAGCATGCCAGACATACAAGAAACCCCTTGACCTGGAATTTGACCCTACTTCCTTAAGGACACAGCACTAAGGACACAGCACTAATTTGACCCTGCTTCCTTAAGGACACTCATTCCCAGAGGCAGGAAGTAGCCACTTATGGAAGTAAATGTATCCCAAGAAAATCCACATCATCATCAACTGAAGTAATATGCCGGGAAGAGGATCAGCTGGGCAAGGATGCAAACCAGGAAGTGGAAGTATGACAGACTGGGAACAGGATGATTCAAATAAACTTTCTCTCTGCCCTGGGGAGATGCACCTGGGGTCCCAGAGGACGTGTGTATTAAGGCAGGGGAAGAAGACGGATACATAGAAGTTTTATTCCTTCACCCTTTGCCCAATTAAAAAATCTTTCTACACAATTTCTCTGTTTGGTGGACTGAAATGAATGTGCACCTCCTGTGGCTTTCCTAGTGTAGCCTGCCCACTCCCCACCACCCTGCACCCCCCAAGCCCAGATCTGCTCGTGCCCAAGTTTAGAGTAGTTTGTAGGTAATGTAGTGATGTAATTACAGGGGACTTAGTGAACAATAAAGAGAAGTCACACAAGGGACATTTTCACCCCTCTTCTTAATATTCACATTTGCTTGTCTCCAGCTCTTTGTTTTCATAAAATTCCTACCTGCCTAGGTCTTCCGCAGCCAACCTCTGTCAGATGGAATCCTCTATGCCTCCAAAGAATTTGGGTTTTCTTGATCTGGAGAGCCAAGCTTGAGCTCTCCCTGCTTCTAAACACCTCTAATACGTATTCCTCTTCTTTTTTTTTCTTTTCTTTTTTAACATTTTATTAGGGGCTCATACAACTGTTATCCCAATCCATACACACATCAATTGTGTAAAGCGCATTTGTACATCGTTTCTCAAAACATTTTCTCTCCATTTAAACCCCCGACATTAGGTCCTCATTTTTCCCCTCCCTCCCCGCTCCCCCCTCCCGCATGAGCCCTTGATAATTTATAAATGGGTATTTTGTCATATCTTGCCCTGTCCGACGTCTCCCTTCATCTACTTTTCGGTTGTCTGTCCCCCAGGGAGGAGGTCACACACAGTTCCATGTAATCGGTTCCCTCTTTCCTACCCATTCTCCCTTTACCCTCCCTGTTTCCCCACTCACACCACTGGTCCTATAGGGCTCATCCATCCTGGATTCCCTGTATTTTCAGTTCCTATCTGTACCAGTGTACCTCCTCTGGTCTAGCCAGTCTTGCAAGATAGAATTCGAGTCATGGTAGTGGGAGTGGGGAGGAAACCTTTAGGAACTAGAGGAAGGTTGTATTTCTCGTCATTGTTACATCGCACCCTGACTGGCTCATCTCCTCCCCGAGACCCCTCTGCAAGGGGATCTCCAGTGGCCTACTGACTAGCCTGTAACTAAGTAGCATATTAGCATCACTGTCTCATGTTGTGTAATATCTATTTGAGCTTCCCACTAGTCCAGTAGTTCTCAACAGGAGCCAGGAGGGAGATTGTGACCCAGGGGGTCAAGTTTGTTCATGTTTGGAGACATGTTTGATGGGCACAGCTGGGTGGATGGGACTACTCTATCTGGGGTGAGCGTGGTGGTAGTGGTAGGGCTCAGCAGCGATGCTACTAAAGATCAACAATACACTGATACAGCCCCTCACCCCCACCCCCACCCCCACAGAACAAATAATTATCTGGCCACAAAATGTCAAGAGCATCATGGGAAAGCATACTGTGGTAGATTGTGCAGGACTGGCCTGGTCACGTTGTCTCTTGGTGCCTGGCGCAGGGTAGCACTCAATAACTACGTGTTGTCCGTGCTGGTGCTGGTGCCTCCTCGAGATGTGATTTAATGACCCCTTGGAAATCTGCTTCTACAACAGAAAAAAAATGTGGCTGAAATATAAGTGAGAGGCCTTTCAATGCTTTTGTGGAAAAATGGAATGAAAATATAATGGGATTTTTCCACCAAAATTGGAAGCCTCTTCTTATAGGTAATCTGCAATATGATTTGAGCAAAATCACTCTCCGACTTTAGTGGTTTTGAATTTTGGGAATCTGCTTCCGCTTCCTTTTTTATAACCCCTCTCTTCTGCCTAAACGGATCTGTATAGAGACATATAGCCAACTTTCAGGTAATAATCAGTAACTTAGTTTATATATATATTTTTTGATCACTATTTTCTAAACACTATGATATACAGAGTATGATCAAATGAACTTGCAAGAAATGGCGAGGAAGGGCCACATCTGACCTCCTCTGACTTCCCCGGTGCCTGGAGGCAGGGGTCAGACAAGCCTCCATCTCCATCCTTCTTCTCGCGCCCACCACCCTTTTTACTTATTTATTATTTAATCATTGTATTGGGGTCTCATAAAACTCTTATCACAATTCATCCATCCATCCATCTATTGTGTCAAACACATTTGTACATTTGTTGCCATCATCATTCTCAAAACATTTGCTTTCTACTTGAGCCCTTGGTATCAGCTCTCCATTTCCATCCCCCTCCCTCCCTGCTCTCCCTCCCTCGTGAACCCTTGATAATTTATAAATTATTGTTATTTTGTCATATCATACACATCCTCCTTTACCCACTCTGACACCAACTGTACCTCCCATGCCACTCTACATCTAGGTTGGGTTCAATACTTCATTGCAATGGCCACACAGCATGCACAGAAAACACTCACAGTTAAGGGGGGTATATTAGTCTGGGTACTTTGGAGAAACAAATCCACAACAACTCATGTATAAGAGAGAGTTTTATGTAAAGAAAATTTGCATTATGAAAACATCCCAACCCAATGCTGCCCAAGCCCACA